TTAGGAGAGTGGGGATCTGACATCAGGACACCAACGGCCATGCTGAAAGACATTTTATCTTTAAGATTTCCATGGATCCAAGTTGGGAAAAAGGTCTCTATATTGTGCTCCCCGAGAGAAAGAGGGCCAGTTACAATGTGATCTTTGGAAGCAACTTAACGGGATTTAGATTTCAGACTGACCCTATTTTCAAACACAATGTTTTATTGTCATTTGATCCTGCAATCACTGAAAACATAAAGAAGAAACATCTTCTTCATTATGTGTATTTTTACAATACTGCACATTTTGGGTCAAAGTGCGGGGAAAAGTAGCCCTGTAGTCATGTAAAGTCTTACTCAAAATAGCAGAGAAGTGCAACTCTGGACTAATTAGTGGAAGCAAAATTACTGGACTTTGCAGACGCCTCTGTCAACAGCAGCCTTAAAATTACATACTTGGAGCAATTTTTGTCCTACCAAGGAATATTTTAGGAGACTAAGCGTTTTTGCTCAAATTGGTAAGTGAAAAAGTACTAATTACACCATATCATATTCCCCCCTCAATACATTTTTTTTTTAAAGAAAAGCACAAAATACTTAGACATACCAACAAATATTTCAAGATCTAAGGGGGAAGGTGCTAAGTACTATTATTATGGCTTCAGATCTACTTCAAAACCAAAACTCAAAGAAATTTTGCAGAAGTTAGTGGATAAAAAATTTTCTATCGTGGGTGCGATGGACTGGGCCAGGTCAGCTCAGGGCAAATTGCTCAAAGCCAGGGCTACTTACAGCCCTCAACTGGAAACCTTTTCCAAATAGGCCGCAAACCAGTCACACAAAACACTTCAGCTGCCAATCTAGCCAGGAGGAAGCCTCACAAGCAAAACCCCTCAGACACCCCAGCTTTCCCTGTGCCACAATCAGCCCCGGATCTTACACACAGTTGAGAGGGTATAAAACCCGATCTCACCAACTCCGAACAGTTCCCAAAGAACCAGCCACAGTCCCAGGCCAATTTACACTTTAGCTCTTACCCACAAGAGCACGCCGGCTCAATACTTTAGAATCTAAAATGTAAAGGTTTATTAATAAAAGAAAAACAAGGTTGAGAATAAGATTGTTAAGGAGACTACATTACATACTTGATGCATGCTCTTAGTAGAGATGTTACAAACTGCTAGCTTAAAAGTCTATGGTGTACATCCTGTATTAGGATGGGTCAGCAATCCTTCCTGGCTCTCTGTCCCTAGCAAGGCCTCATCTGGAATCAGGAGCAAGACTGAAGACAAGATGGAGATGTGCTCATTGGATTTTTATATTCCTGGTGTCTCCCAAATTGGAGCTGGTCACATGATCTAGTGACCTGTTTGTGTTTCACAGGCAAGTAGCCATGAGGCACTGCCTGGTTTGCTGACTTCCAGACACATTCCTCATGTATGTATTGGCCACTCAGAGCCATTGTCCATGAAACAGGGCTAGTTAGCATAGTCATTCACTGAACTATCATTCCTCACAATAGTCTGTCCAGGCCCATTGCTCACTCCCAGGCAGAGAACATTTACAGTACAAGAACAGAGCCCATATTCATAACTTCACATACAAAAATCATACAAGTACATGAGTAGCATACATAGAATCAGCAAAGCATAAGCTTCCATTTGACCACTCACAGGGCCCACTTTGTACAGAATTTGGGGCAAGCACCACCGGTGGGTGCAACAGTGATCTGTATGCTCACTTTAAAATCCAATAATGTGACAATGAGCATTAAAGAAAAGAAAGAAAGAAAAAAAAAAAGACCTGTCCTGCAGGGCATTAAGTGACTTCAGTTCCCTCTGAAGTCCATGAGTATGACTACCTACCAGTTGGGAGGAAGACTCCCAGCACTGGTAGACATATTTGCAGCAGTGGAGTTCCTGCTAGTGCACTAGAAATAGCAGAGTGGACATTGCCGCATCAGCTCAGGTTCAAGCTAGCCAGCTGACGTCCAGCTCATCCTACCCAGTGGCTCTCTCTCCAGATGGGTAGTCTGAGCTTCTCTTAGTGCAGCAACATCATCACAATTAATATGTAGCTTACTAGCAGAACTTCTGCTAGCACAAGTCTACCTGCCAAGACAGGGATTCTCACTCCCAGCTGCAGCATAGACAAGCCTTAAGGATTTTTCAGCATTACTGAGTAAGAATGATGGCCAATAATGTCAAATTTCAGGAGTGGCTTTAGGTGCCTGAGGACAGACACTTTAAAGAGGATGATTTTCAGAAAGTATTGAGCCACCCATCATGGGGAAATTAAGCTTATTTCAAGCAGCCCAAGCCCCCGCAAGATGTTAAAAATTAGAGGGGCTCAAAATCATTAGTCACTTTGAAGAACTTTAGTACAGTTTCTATTTTTGCCCCTGAAAATGGATGAATTATTACTGGCTTGTAATTTTCATCTCTGGACTCTTCCAAACTTTGCTTTTTTGTACTAACTAGAATAATAAAAATTGCATTAAAAATGCACTTACATTAGATAGTGATGTGAGCTAGGAAAATTCGTACCTCAACCTCTTCTCCTGAAGTAGCAGACACACCAAAAGTCTGAAAACAGGTATGTGGACTCATACGCTTTTACTGCTGGACTACTGACAGCAGAAAAATTGACAATGGCTTATCTACACTTCAGGTCTGAAATACCTAGACTCACTGGAATCACAGAGCTGACTAAATCCTTTCTTCCAAAGGAAACAAAATTAGTACCATGTTTTTTGTAATGTTTTGCTCTTCTGGGCGAGCTCTATAAAAAAATATTAAAAATCCCATGGCACATATTGGGAAAACCTGTTTGTCTTTGAAAAGTCCTTTTCCTTCACTCCACCTTGCTAATACTCAACTACTGCTAAGGTGAAGGTCTTCCTGAGCTTATATAGTTTGTGAAATGCTAGATTTGGAATGAAAGACATTAATATAACATAAAATACTATTCAAGTGTTTTGCTTTTCACATCTTCCTTTTCTGAGAGTCTGCCTATTCCCTTATCTGCTATATTGCCAGAATTCATTCTCCCCTTGGTTCCGCCCAAGTTAAAAGCCTTAATCATACCTTTGATCATGTCCAAGCATTCTGGAATTTTGGAAATTCTCTCTTCCCATGGCCTCTTGAAATCTCTACTCTCTAGACTCCAGGGAGTCCCAAATGCTGCAGCCAAATTACTTTCTTGTTCTGGGAAAGAGAACCATATCATTTTGTCTCTTGTAAGATATGAGAACACAAAAGGCTGCTCAGGGGAATTAGAGCCTCATAACTCAACAGTTGCTAGTTATTAATTCTAGAGGGCAGATCCTCAGTTGATATGAATCAGTGTAGCTTCATTGCCTTCAACAGAATCATGCTGATTTATGCCAGATGAGGACTTATCCTCGGTGTACTTCACTTGCACAAAGGCAGTTATCCAAGGTATCTATTAATGAGCCCTATGCATGTAAAGAGCCGTGCTGTGTCTTTACTTGGCTAATTGCTCTGAAAATGACACTGTGGCACCTTGCTACTTAGACATGTTCTTTGGGTGTATTCTCTCAAATTCACTTACTTTTCCAACAAAAATAAGTTTCTCTTCCTTTTCTTGGAAGAGGCAATACAGTCATGAGAGAGTGAGATGGATTTTATTTTGGCACCTGCATCAAAATAATTTCTAATTCAGTTCAGTTGCAGAGCCAAATTATGCCCTGAGATACAACAGTACACTTCATCAGTGCAGTTGTACAGGTGTAATGAGGTAGAGATTCTGAAAGATAATTTCTATCACTGGTGACAATGCATAAGCCAGAAAAATCATAGTTTGACCTACAAATCACAGGTTGAACTTGTGCCAGAGGCTGTTAGATATGCTTATATATTACACATACCAAATTCCATCTAGAATTTGCTGATTGTCAATACAACTGATTTACTATGTCATGTTTACAGTTTCTTTTCAAATTAGGACCACGCTTTAACTTCTTGACGTCTCAGTTTCCCCGTTTAAAAAAAAAAAAAAAAAAAATCAGGATAGTGGTGCTTAACCACTTTTATAAAAACGTTTTGAAATGTACTGAGGAAAAGCATTTTTTAAGTGCCAAACACATATTAATAGAACATAGTGTTTTGTTGTTTTAGAATATTTCTCTTCAATACAGCAATACAAAAAATAAATTATACTAGTGTATTAGGATCACATTAGGTAAAGCAGAGCTACTCAACATGCATGCGGCCCACAGCCTGTTTGTTTGCGGCCCACGGTGCGATTTCGGTTTACACGAGGCACAACAAGCAGCCTGCGGGTGGGAGCCAAAACAAAAAAGTAGTCAATATAATGGTCTTCTGTAGATATGGTTTTAGTAGTTAAATTCCTGGACTGTCATTGCTCATTAAAAGTGCTGTAATATGGGTGGAAATTGGGTAAATACTGCATTTTCTTAATATCAGCAGAATTGACTTAAATGGGGCCTGCGTGTTGTGTAGTTTTGACTTAATCTTTGTATTCATGCCCATCAATGTGAAAGAAGCATATATATATTTGCATGTACATGCAACCACAGTTAAGTTGCGGCTGTCTGTATGCACTGTGAGTATCATTGTGGCCCCAAGGGCTTCCAAAGTTGAGTAGCCTTGAGGTAAAGGTTGTGAAAGGGCTATTCCATTGTATTATTTGATGTCTATGTACACTTAGAATACCTATTTGCAGGCAGGGACTGTCATTTTCTATGTGACTGAGTAATGCCTAGAATAATGGGGCCAGCTCTCAATTGGGTTCTGAAGCTGTTGCTGTAATATAAAGTGTAACAAAAATAATAATCTTGGAGCCATTACAATCACACACAATATCCAAACTAAAATCAATTGGATTCTAGACATTATCAGCTAATACTTTAACAAAACGTGTGCATATACCCCACTCTTACCCCATCTCAGCTAATACAAGTATTTATGTTACTTCACAAACATGTTGGGCCTGATTCACTACCAGCTGGCATTTTATGTAGCCATTTGCAACAGTACACAGTGAGCATTCTACTCTTAAGCGTGTTTATAATGTAACACACAGTGCAGTAAAGATAAAGGAAAACTGCTGGGTGTGTTGACAAAAGGATGCGGTGATTCTGGAAAGGTCAAAGGAAAGAGTCCTTTAATACACATGGAATGTTTGTGGGACAGAGGTAGATGGTGTTCTAATAACTATAATTGTATGTTAGCTTGTGAGATAAATGCAAAACATCAACCCTCAATGTGCATGTAACAATGGATCTGTTAGGTTTTAAGATAAAAACTGCTTTAAATGTCAGGAGCCAGATTCTCCTGTGAGTCAGAGGTACAGCTAACCTTAGAATCAACCCATTTCAAAGAATCAGAGAATCCTAGGGCTGGAAGAGACCTCAGGAGGTCATTGAGTCAAACCTAATGCTCCAGACGTGGCTTCACCAGTGTCAAATAAAGGGGAATAATAACTTCTCTAGATCTCATGGAAATGCTCCCCCTAATGCACGCTGCTAATATGCCAATAGCCTTCTTGGCTACAAGGGCACACTGTTGACTCATATCCAGCTTCTCATCTACTGTAATCCCTATGTCCTTTTCTGCTGAACTGCTACTTAGCCAGCTAGTCCCCAGCCTGTAACAATGCTGGGGATTCTTTCGTCCCAAGTGCAAGACTCTGCACTTATCCTTGTTGAAACTCAGATTTCTTTTGGCCCAATCCTCCAATTTGTCTACGTCACTCCAGATCCTATCCCCACCTTCCAACCCATTTAGTGGAAGCTGTGGAGGAATGAGCCCAACTCTCCTCTAACACACCCCATTATAACACTAGAATGACTCCATTATTTCAGTGCAGTTGCTTCACACACTTCTCTGAGAGTAGATGAGAAGAACTGGTCCCATAGAGACTGGACTTTTGGACCAGTTTTAAATAACTGATTTATAATATACCATATAATACATCTTATATTTATTATAATATGAAATAGATTAGAGACTCCATTCATTCTTAATGATGCCACGCATCCAAAAAGGAAAAGAGGAACAAATGAAAGAAGGCCATTCTAATCAGGTTAATTTAGGGAAGGATGCCAGCAGGAAAGGCTTGCTAACTGCCAGCTGTTTCAGCACAGGAAAAGAATTTTCCTCAACAACAATCATTCTGGGAGTGAAACTGGCTCCAATATCAGTATAAAGGGAGGAGCTGTGATATTACAGAAAACGCACAATAAAACAACAAATTGCAATTACAGTCACAAGATGACAAAGATGAAGGAAGTGGGAAATTAAAAAAAAAAAAAAAAAAAAAAAAAAACAGTCATAACGTGCCCCCCAGGAATTAGTCTTTTTTCCTTCAAATGCCAGTAACTTTTAGAATAAAAAAAAGCATCTGTACCGAGACTTTGTTTTAAACATATGCTTAGCTTTAAGGACTGTTAATCACGTGATTAAAAGCTGTCACAAATAGAGATGGAATTAAGCGCGCGCACACACGCACATTTTTTAATTGTGTCCCTAATTATGAACATTATTTTATTGTTTTAGTGTAGGGGTGGTAAAACTAGTCTGTTGGACCTTTTGATCTGTCCCACAAGCTCTCTCCAGGGAACGGGGTCAGGTGCTTGTCCTACTCTGGAGCTCCAGCCTAGGAGGGAGGATGGGGCCTCACCATGGCCGGCTCCGTGCAGCTTCCTGAAGCAGGGGTAGCCTGGGGGATCTGCACGCTTCCCGAAGCAGGGGTAGCCTGGGGGATCTGCACGCTTCCCCCATCCCAAGCATCAGCTCAGTAGCTATCACTGGCCAGAATCCATGGCCAATGGGAGTTATGGGGGCTAGAGACATTAACGGGTAACTGGTTAACCAGTTACCTGGTACGCAAAGAGCAACCCCTGCTCACAGCCTGCCTCGGGCAGAAGGATGCTACAGCCCCCGCAGGGCCCCTGCATGGGGCTGCTGGCTCCCAGCTCTGAACAGAGCAGCCAAAGCAAGGGGTAGGAGGGATACTCCAGCCCAGCCAGGCTAGAGTGCCTCCCTGCCTGCGCCTATTTGATCAGTTAACCAGTTAAACAATGTTTAACTAATTAAATGGGATTTTACATCCCTATCGAAAGCAGTGCCTGAAGACTGGGCAGGATGCAAAGCTAGAGTGGGAACGGGACACTGCTTCTAGGAGCCACTTCAGGTAAGTGCCTCCTGGAAGCAGCGGGGTGTGCCAACTGAACCATAAGCAGCACTTTGATTGGATGCAGAGGGAGTGCACAGCTCTCACAATCAATATTGTGAGCAATCAGCACACACTCACTTCACGTGCCTTGATTTAAGTGCATCACTTTAGTAATATCAATAGGAAAAAAAGATGAAGACAGAAAGCAGTGAAGACTGGCAACCCTGCACATGAGCAACAATAAACAAAATGTTTTGTGAGCCACACGTACAACCCTAATGGGCCATATGTGGCCGTTGGGCCCAGGTTGCCCACCACTGCCTTTAGTCTTAGCCTTCACTCCTTCCTGTATCCCAGCCCACCAATTTTGTGAGCATTCATGGCTCTCCATACAGTTTCCATACCAACATGTAGCCCTCAGGACAAACAAGTTTGCCCACCTCTGTTCTAGTATGTTTGAAATAGTCTGTTTTCCTGTCTATAGCTTTGTGTCAGACCTAATTTTCATGTATCACTTTCAATTGTGCAATTTCAGACAGCGGGTGCTACATTTTACTGGCATCTGTTCTGCTATTCTGTGTTTGTATCAGAAAACACACCTCAGAAAAATACTCATTGAAAACTTAGTTTGTGTCACTTACATGCAGACACTTACTGTAGAATATTTTGTTCACTACAATGACTCTGACATAGCCAGAACATGCACCTCAGTCCACATGCTCACATAAGCAGGAACTTTAACTGGACTATTGACTAAAATAAACAAAATGCTCAGTAATAAATTGTTTGCAGGATTGGACCCTTAATTTCTTAGAGTAACTCTTATCCCTTCTAGCTGATAATGGAACCAAAAGTCAAAAGGGACTAGCTAAACAGTCCACTTTGTGATGCCTAACAAATAACTGAATATGAAACTATACTTCAAATACAGTATGTGTTCTGAAGTTTTTTTACTAACAATTTCTTTTACTAAACATTTCTACAAGAGTGCAGAAAAATAATCTTAAACTATTTCCAGTTATCTGTTTTCCAAACTAAAGCTGTTGAAACTGGTTTTCACA